AAAAAAAAAACAAGTGTAAAACGTGAGGAACTTGAATTCAAAAGAGCGCACTTAGATGTTAAACATTTGACAAACACAACACATATTTTTTAACTTCCTTCTTCTTCCTTTTAATTGAAACAAAAATAAACTTGAAAAAATGAAAATTCGGAGAAAAATAAATTTAAATACGGTGCTGACTGTGCTGCAAATGTGCTGCTGCTACTGCTATGGCAACAGGACAACGGTGTATTTTTTCCAGTAGTGATTAACGGAGACATTCCATAACCCATACCAAGCCAACAAGCTATCAACATAATTCATTGAAAAGAGGGAGAGCTGGGACGAAAGCGAAAGCATTTGCACGGCAAATAAACATTAATTTAGTCAAAAAATCGTTTAAAAGGCAAAAATGTTTATTTAAGTCAAAGATCAAACTCCCCTCCCTCCTGCCTCTCCCCATCTCCGGTATCCGAATGTGTTCCGGAAATGAGAAGTGGCCCGAGTGATAAACTCCATGGCAATTGGTAAGAAATGCATACGACTTAATGGACCGAAACACTTACTACCATCACAATAATCCCACATATTTTTTAATTTTCATTTCTTGCATTCTTTTTGTTTTTTTTTCTTTATTTTATTCCTTCCTATTATAATTTTCTAACTATTCGCTATGCAAGGACTTCAATGCTCCATTCTTTCGAATGTTGCTGAAAGCGTAAAAACTCATTAACAAACCAAGCAAACAGCCACTGATTTACCACTGAAACGATTCAACGAAGCATCAAACGGCTTGTTTGTCCAGAAGCTTATTCCAGATTCACACGAGGTACGTTTCGATGTGAAGACGGTGTCACCTAACAATACCGCCGAATCTCAAAATGACTAAAGCCCTACTAACAAATTCTGTCAAATGAATCAACGAGCTGGCAATCCTTTCAAAGGAACGAGACACCATCGCTGAAAGGCTAACTGCCAGATGATGCAGCACTGGTAAAGGTGCAGTTAGTACCTTTTGAAGCTTCTACAGTTACGCAATTCAAATTCATTAAGCACCAAGAACCAGCAATTCAGGTGCTGAGAATGCTGAGAGCCCGAGACGAAGTCAAGGGCGATGCTGTCGGCTAAAGCAGTGATGAATCCATGGTAAAGCAGAAGGCGTTTTTTCAAAAATTAGGTAGAAAAACATGTCAACAAGTAACTTATTTGCCGAGCAATGCTTATTTTATGGGGAGAAGCAAGAAATTTGAGCTCGTTGGCTGGCAATCGTTTGGGTTACGGAGGACAAATTTCGACTGCTGGTGGCGCGCAACACAATTTGTAATCCAGTCAACTCACCACGATTACCTTCAGCGGGGGCAAGTCAGGATCACGCTCACTGACTGTGCTCCGCGCTCGGCTACCAGATGATGCTTCATTCTCCGCTGCTGCTGCTGCTGCTGCCAGTGACATACGGCTAGCACTTCGATGTATTGGTGCGGTCGATTCAACACCACCAACAGCAGCAGCACCGCTACTTGCCTCACCAACATTGGCTGGAAACAAAGCAAAATATCGCCAAGATTTTAGATTATCCGTAATTCAATCCCAGATTTCTCATTGCTGTGCATCAATTTCTCAGCTGAACCTTCAACGCCGATGGGCGGTTTTTTCCTGCCAAAACTTTTATGCGACCGTACGCAGGCCCAGACATGCGTGAGAGTTGGTACCGCAGTTCTGGGGTAGCACTTGGCTCAGAAAACCCGTTGGCAAAATTTTGGCGCCGGAGCTTGCTTGGATGACGAGTTGAAATATCAGGACAGACGCAGCACACACACAAACACATGAAAAGGATGTCATGATAACCAAAAATTTCTTTTATCTAGAGAGCCGTGTACTTAACAGCACAGAAAAAAGTGACTAGTTGGCATGCAGCCGATGTCGAGAGCCTCCGATGTCTGTGAAGCTGTAATGAGCTTGTCAACCCCACCCCTCTCCTCCTTCTCGCTCCCAAATTCGTCCTTTTTTAAAGGCTCTAAAGCATTCCGGAAGTAGACCGAGACGAATCTGTTCATTTCGGGCGTTGTAGCACATATATGAACAAATGTAGCATAACGGACCCGAATTAGCTGCTTCGGATGGCGCATCTGAATTTCCATTTATCATTGCTGCACCACCTGCTGCAGCTTCGCGATATTTACGTCTTCCTGGAAAAAAAAGCATCTCAGTCTGGTCAGCTTTTTTTAAGCAAGGACCTCAATATCATTTATAAAGAAAAGAATGTTAAAGCTTTTTAAAAATCATAAATCTCGAAGAGCCCTTTTTTTCAAAAGATCCTCATAATTTCTGAATAAAATAAAAAAAAAAAAAAAATGGAGGAAAAACGAACTTTCTTTGCGCTGAAGATAAAGATTTCGCTCTGTTTCATTGAATTCTGCAATATTTTTAAAAATAAGAAAAAATACATTTTCCAACTTAGGAAAACAAAAAAACTTAACGTAAACTTCTAGAAGATCAGTCACAAACGCAGGTTACGAACCATCATATCAATTTGTTTGGCAACTGTCGGTACACTAAACGCACGCTTTCTCATGAAATATCACATCCCTACCTTGCTCCCTTTTTAGAAAATCAGCCAGAAAAGGAATCTTCGAAATTTAACAGCTCAAACTGATTGCAACTGGCAAAAATGCCATCAATTTAGCTATAAAAAAGAGCAATATTTTTTCGCACAGAACAAACAAACACGCAGTGCGGTAAAAAAAAGTGCACACCGGTGATGGCGAGGGTGACTCAGTGGCAAGTAGCGTAGTTTTCACGTGGAAAGTTGAGTGCAAATCTTACTTTTCTCAATCTGTTCAGTGATGCCCGGATTATCGGCTTCGAGTTCCAGTTTGAAATGCAATATTTCCTTGTTGATTTTTTGGCTATATTTTGACAGCAGACTATGCATAATCTCCGCTATTGCTACTTTTTCGTCTGTCAGCGCTTTGGCACGAGCATAAAGCTGTAAAAATGCAATAAAAAAGCACTGAACGAAAGAATTACGTTGGCCAAATCCATCGCTAAATTTCAGAGCTGTTCTAGGAAAAGTGATCTTCAAGACTGTATGTCTGCTAGCTGAAAGTTATATGCAACGAAAAAATAACCTTTTTTTTTACAAAAACACCACAACTTACATCCATAATATCGTTGTAACGTTTAATTTTCTCCTCCTGCGGAAGATTACCACCAGTTTCGAAGAATTCATCTCTGTCCCTGTTTGCTTGCTCATGCAACTCTGGAAATAATTCTCCTGAAGGTCTTAAAAAAACTCACACACATACATATCCGCTACAGCTGATCTTCGGTGTTCACAAAAAGTTTAAAATAAGACAAACTGCAAAAGCCCACAATTAAGACTGGCCGGTGCGCCGACCGGGAATCGAATCCGGGTCTGCACCGCAGGAAGATCCAATGACACCGCTACATCATTGGCGCAACTCATCCCCCCCTGCCCCCTCCCACACTTGTCTAATATGAAAATCAAAGCATCCTAATTTGGACCGAAAACGTCCCAACCTCACTCAATGGACCGGGACATCCCAATTCAATTTTAGTTTTAGCTTTTAATTTTTACGACTTTTTCCATAACCATAGAATATCAAAATTTAAATTACCGCACAGAACTTAACCATCTAGATGTTTTTCTTTCTGACTGACAAAACAAGTGACTAGATGGACAGTGCGATGCTAAGGAGCACTTGTATAAATCAATTCTTAAAGAAAGAAATGCATTTCACACTCCAACGGTTTAGTGCCCTTCTCTCACGCTTTAGTTCTGTGCTTTCATTCCATCTTACAAGTGTTGTAGAAATTTTAAAAATACAAACAATGAATATCTCTGGCTAGGAGCTACTGGAAGAGGACGGGGGCCTGAAACTGCCTATGTATTAACATATGGAGCTTATTTGGCGCTGTTTGCCCATCGTGGCGAGGAAAACAATCGAATTTCGATAACTAATGAAAAACTGGAAATGCCATTCAGATCTCCCAAACAAGCAGGCCTGTATGTACCGTGACTTGGTAGTCTGTCTGTGTTTCATCCCTGAGCTGTAAGTTAGTCTGAGGGAAGAAGATAAAGTTGAATGCGGAAAATCCAGTATTTCTATCCAGAATAATAAAGAAAGAAGAAAAACCAAGGCAACAGCCAACAAGATGACCAGTCACTCCTACAGTAAAAAAAATGCAGCTTCGATCATATAAAATCCAAGAAAAAGTTGTCAAGTTGCATATAGGGAACGAAGATGCGCCTCAATGATTCAACGATATTTGAACAAAGTAAATGAATTCAAAGCAAAGTACGGCAAATTGCTTACGCTGTGCTTGCAGATCGAGCATGCGCATTTCGGTACTTCGATCTCTCAATTCACCGGGTAATTGTTCGATTACTGAATACAATAAAGGAATAATGCTATAGAAATATTTTGTAGAAATCTGCCTGTTATTGATATCACTTTAGCATAGATGCGGGAAGTAAGGTTTTGTAGCCACTGGAGAACTAGCTGGCTGCATTAATGACGACCCAGAATACATTCCA